TCAATACACACCCAACATCCAATTGATTTAATGTAAAGACGTCATAACCGTCAGGTAAAAACATGACCTTGTGGACATATTGTAGAGCCATGTATGGAAAAATAATATTTAGTTTCCCCCGATCATATCTAAATTTCTGGGCTCGATAAACAACATTTCCGTAAGAATCAGTATGTGCTATTTAGTCTAACTTTGTTTCATAAAAAATGCACAGCGTATACGTTGATACAAATATCTTGTTTTCGGAAAGAATATCATACATGTAGTTGGAAAAAAATCACTTTGACTGGACTAAACAGTTCTCTGAATCTTTGCCATCACTTATGACATATCAATCCGTTTACTATTAACGAAAAATGACAGACCTTTTTGTTGAAATATTTATATTCAAGAAGGTTCAAAAGATGGATAATCGATATATGTATATATAATTATATACAAAAAAAGTTTCTTTTCAAGCGGTGCATTATATATATCTTTTTTTTCTTAATGACATAAGGTCAGAATCGTTGACTTCATTTTCATGGGACAGTGAATACAGCTTACCTGTTTGCTTTTTATCAAGCTTTTGTCACATATGATTAGCCATATGACAATTATATTTTTAAATAAGGCCATTGCCGTCTTCGCTATCTAACCCTCTCCTTTTCACCATTGGCAGATTAATATAGAATTTGTGTATACAGCATTGTGTCATCTTGCGACATATAGAGGTCACGCCAGCTCCGAATGCATCATTCATTACCAATGACAGCACTTGTACATTTTTGTACTAAATTAAGGTCGGAGGTGAACAAATGGTTGTGCCAAGTGCTTACAAATTTCGTTAAGCAAAAACATCATATATACTGTTGACATTCCAACATTTGCACTATGAACATACATAAAAAACTTCAATTAATTAGAAGTGTCCCTAAATATTGTCCTATGCTTTTGGGTAAAGTCTCGGGGGACAATCTGCACCTGGCGATGGTTTATTTACATTTTCTACATTTTAACGTGATCATGTTAAAGAAGTTTTTGATTGGAAAAGCAAAAGATGTGATTTAAAGTCCTATGAGATAATTTTTCTCCAGGATAGGACCATAGGACGAAGACATCGTTCAATTTTCATAAAAAGAAAAGCAAAAGATACCAAAGGGACATTCAAAATCATAAGTCTTAGGATTTCAAACCCATCAAAATAAATATAAAAATAAGACGATGAGGTATGATTGCCAACGAAACAACTCGCCACCAGAGACCAAATGACATAGAAGTTAACTTCTATTATCACCTTATAACTATCAACAATGAGTAAACCCATACCCGCATAGTAGGCGTTAAAAGGCCCCGAAATAACAAATATATAACAATTCAAACGAGAAAAGTAAAAGGCTGATTTATTACAAAACAATAAGAGAAAAACAAATATGATATACAGCTGCAACAAAAAAACGACAACCATTGGGTAACAGGCTCTTGACTAGGGACAGGTACATTTAGAAAGTAGCGGGGTTAAACTAGTTTGTTGGCGCCAAACCCTCCCCAACCTGGGATAGTAGTGTAAAGTACAACATAAGAACAAACTATAGAAATCAACTGAAAACTACCACAGACGTTAAATTCTGTTATAATGACTTTACCAAAATACTATGTGTCTTTTTTACAGTGATTAACATGATTAAGTATAACTATGATACTTTTCCCAGACTAAGACTACTGCAAACGAGATTAAACGATTCCATGGATACGATGAACAATACAATCGTACAGTCACCTCATATACGATTTATATGCGATGAAATGTTTGCCAAGTGTCTGCAATTAACCAACGGTCAATTTTCAGTGAAGGGTATGAATGGTCAATATATTCAAGAATACGATATTTGTAAAACTGAACTTATCGTTACCGTATGCATTCTTCAGCCAGACGAATCAGGAAAACTATCAACAAAGGTTAGAAATTTTCCTTGTCTTACCTTATATGTATAACGTAGAAAATTTTGCTTTTATAAAGCAACTACATTGTATTGCAATTTGTCACCTTTGTTATCTTCATTCTGTGTAAACTTCTTTGTTTTTTTTGTGATAAATAGAAATGATGTACATATTAACGTTTTCATAAATTGAGGCAACAGGAGTACACAGATGTTCAATTTCCATAAATCGAATAATAAAATAAATAAAGGTAACAGACACAAACCAAGGAAGTAAATGAAGTCTAATAAGATCGAGAACGAGTGGATCGACAGGGTACTGTAAGCTTCGAGAACGAGTGGATCGACAGGGTACTGTAAGCTTCGAGAACGAGTGGATCGACAGGGTACTGTAAGCTTCGAGAACGAGTGGATCGACAGGGTACTGTAAGCTTCGAGAACGAGTGGATCGACAGGGTACTGTAAGCTTCGGGAACGAGTGGATCGACAGGGTACTGTAAGCCTCGAGAACGAATGGATCGACAGGGTACTGTAAGCTTCGAGAACGAGTGGATCGACAGGGTACTGTAAGCTTCGAGAACGAGTGGATCGACAGGGTACTGTAAGCTTCTTCTGTTATGCATGCATCACCGGACATGCAAATCGAAACTGAGTAAAAACTGGGACGAAAATTACCAAGGGGATATTCAAAACACAGATGCCACAATCAGTAAAATTACATATATGACGGCTATTTTTGGTATTTAGAGATCTAGCTATAAAAACATGTCGACCGCTAGTGAGTTGAGAAACAAACATATTTTAACGATCAAACAACTCAAAAACTGAGGAAACAGCATGAAAATCTGAAGGCGCGAGACCAGATGCGTCGACAAGATAATCGTATGAATGGTATTCATGCAACATCTGCTATACAATCTACGCTCTTTATGAACTACCTATTATTGTAAATTTACCTTAGAGGTCTGTATGTATTACGCCTGTAGCGTACGATAAAAGATTTATTCCAGAAAGTGTCAATATGTGTGTTCTCACTATTCATGGAATGGTTTTCCTTTGTCCAGACTAGTTCAAAGCCAATAACAACTAATAAAAAAAGTCATAAATTTAAGACTAAATTTGCAATCAGTAGACATCCAACATCCAATGGATTTAGTGTAAAGACGTCTTAAACAGTCAGAGAAAAACATGACCTTGTGCAATTTCAAGATACAGGTATCGACAGATTGTAGAGCCATGAATATGCATATGTAAATAACAATAATATTGAGTTTGCTTTTAATTTACTGATAGCAAAATCAATATTAATACCAATAAAACAATACTCAAAGATCTAATTATTGTGTTGAATTGGTTACGTTATAGAATAAGTTTATTTAAAGGATCGATCAGCTTACCAGGATCGTTTCTAAATTTCCAAGCACGGTAACAACATCTCCGTAAAAATGAGGTGTGCTATCCCGTTTGAAATAAGCTTTTCCAGGTACAATTAAACTTCAAAACCAAATCTTTATATCTGTGGAAGAATTTAGTAAAGGTTTTAAGTTATTTGCGGTAACGAAATCCCTGACTTAATCATTTACCAGTAATACATAGAGTATGTTTATTGAAATAAAAAACGTCACAACAAACACGGCCATAGCGAACGAGTTGTGATATATAAACACCGTAAGATGGTGCCAAAGGAACATCACCATCCAAAAAAGTAATAAATTAACAATAGGGATTGAAAAATCGTTCCTTTTGTCGTAAATTTAAGTGTGGAGTTTCCCGTATAAAACTGACATATCTAAATTTAGGAAAGGACAGTTATTACCGTTTGTATTTGATTAATTTAAAGTAAGTTCCTTTGGATAAATTTCGGCAGGACATTTATTTAAAGGGGCGCAATTAGTGCTTATAGGAATTACTACAAGTTGGCGATAAACTCTGTTGCAGAAACGTATATAAATATTATCAAAGAGAAAATTAACAATTTTAATCATTTTATCACACCTCCAGTAAATATATCTAGCCAATTTGTCTTTCTCATTAGAGAAGAAGGCTTTAATTGAGTTGCAGCAAATATATTTGCATTCAGATTTACCAAACGACCATTTAATCAAATTGGAAAACTATTGTTTGATAAGATTGTGTGGAAGTGTAGTGTAATGAGTTGAAAAGTCAAAACTGTCAACATAATCAAAATGACCATCAAAAGCACGTAATTAATCTAAAACATCCAAAGAATTTTTTACACTCCAAAAAAGTTAATTCCACCATTTTTATATATTTTATTACAAAAGTTAATGATTAGTTCTTTGAAAGTAGTTAAAGAACTAGTTAAAAGCACCGAAAGATTAGTTGTAGAACACTTACTAGAGGCCGAGATGAAACGATGTTTTACTGGTTTTTTGTGTAGTTTAGGTAACCAATACATAGTAGGGAACTTTAAATGTTCAGAAAAGGCCTTAAGCTGTGGTTATTATATGTTTGTTTACTATATGACTCCTTGTGGAGCACACGAACTTGAATGTCGATGAATTTAAAATTTCATTCTTAAGAACGTCCGTGTAGTATCTACGGCATACCACCATCACATTGTTGGCTGCTTGGTCGGCCGGTACAAACACAAACTGCTTTGAAAGTTCTTGGTGTTTATTTCTTATTCTAGAAATAGGCGTATTATGTACTCTTTTATTTATTTCTGAACTATTTTCCAAATTTGATATTCGAATATCCACAACATTCATATATTTATTTGAATAAGAATCAAGTGATTTCTTTTCAGATTTTCCCCGTGTACACCAATTTTTACAATACGATGAAAGAGCGTCTTTTGAGACCTGACGACACTGTTTCCAATCTATTTTAGATGGAGGACGATATTTTGGTCCTTTTTTCAAAAAGTTTGTAACCTCTCTGTCTTAACGATTCTGAGGCCCCCCGTAATAACATTGCCACAGGGATCATATCTAAAATTCGACGATTCACTGTTTAAAGTTAGAGGAGTATTATTTCCTACATTGACGTCTGATGTTACTGACGTATAATTGAATAATATTCAAATTGTTAATGTATCAATTTTTTTGCAGGATAAAATGTTTCTGGCTTTGCTAGTAGAGATTGAAGCTGATACCAAAACGGTTATATATGTCATTAACACAATGAAATGTCCTTCTTCGATACTAGAAAGATATAGCATTCAAATTTCTGAAAGGATGGAACCTTTTTCCTCTGTAAACACAGTATATAATCGATTGTTTGCAATAAATTCCTCTGAAATATCGATAAGGATATCTCTTTATTTTGAAAGGCGTCTTTTAGATTATCTTCCTGTTATTAATACAAGTTCTAGCGTGCTGGAAAATACTTTGACGTCTTTAGAGTTAAACGAGCAGTTGACAGCTGTTCTTGCGAAGGGCCCTTTAAATGGAAACACATGTCTTGATGTTTTGAGGCGTAATGCTTTGGACTTTCAATTGGATAGTGACCGGACGCATAGATTACCGTGGAAAATACAAATGATTAGATGCCAAGTCAAAACCTATTTATTAGAATGCCTTAGCCAAGATATATCAACGACCTTAATAAAATATCTAAACGACCAGATGATTATCAAGAGAAAAGCAGTTGCCGATGAGCTTGATAAAATGATGGATATATCGATGTGTTGGATTGACCAGCTTACTTTCGATATTTTAGGAATCATATCAATAAGATCAGTACCTATACTTGGATTTGCATCCACTCCTTTTTCAATAGCATCAAATCTGTTATTTTCCGTAGATGTTCAAGATGTAAGTTTCAGACATCAAATCGCAGATTATTTACATGAACATATAATGGCGTGGAGGACTGAAGTAATTCGGGACGTTCATCATAGATTTAAAGATTTTTTTTGGAAAAAGTTTATAAAATTATGGCAGATACTAAATGTATTTGGGAAACGAAACAGAGCAAGCATTTCTTTCCACGAATACAAAACCATTACAGAAAGGTTTGTACATATTTGTTAAGATAAATGTGTGTTTACATTAAATATTCGTTTCGTATTACCTTTGACATTAATATCAATGAGATTGCGCGAATAGAACTATATTTCTTACTGTTACTAATACTTGTTACTTCAAAAGACAGTTATAATTTTATGTTTCAATGGAGCAAACACCAATGTAGTCCGTTAATCCTCATATGTTATTCTGGTTTCTTCTACATTAGTTGCCATGCTAATAATGAGGGGAAAAGCTTAAAATTATATGGTTGTGATTATGATCATTTAGAGAAAACTGAAACCCAATCATAATGGATCTATATAGAATCTTTACTGATAAAAAAATTATGAAACGTTATATTTTGAAGTGGAACGAAGAAAATCTTCTCGTTTTCTCGAGAAACTTATCATTCTTAGATGTACATTGTAGCCGGGTCAGCACACAATCATGTAAAATGAGTAATTTGAAAACCCAAATTAGAATATGAACAATAAGTCTGAGTGTCCGAACTTTTAAGAATTTGTCAACGAGATTCAGATGTTGATCCTTGCTTAGTTATTAATGTAAAACCCTTTTTTTTCTTTTATCTTACAATCGTTATCCTCTTATTTCCCTCAAAGTTAACCTATAGCTGTACATAAGAGCTTATGGGAATGCAATCCGAGTATAAATATATGTAACCGAAAATTATACCATAGCTATATATTGTATAATTTTCACGATAATACCATGATGTTCTCTTAACTTCTGAAAGAAAAAAAAGAAGAAAGAAAGAAAGCAAAATTTGGCCGCGGCCGGCTGAATTTCTAGACATAGGTACAATCGAGTTAACCAATGACCTCTAAGCTGAACTGCCCGCTTTGCAACGGCCGATACAAATGAATGTCTACGGTCGGATTCGAACCACGGTTTACGCCAACTCCGTTGTCCTATATTTTTAATTGCACTACAGTTTGCGCCCAGAACAATATTATCAATAATAAATTGCGGTTTTTATCCAACGCAATCAAAGGTTTAAACGTTGTTTTCAATTTAGACTTGTTTTTATTAATAATATGTATATATATTTATATGAACGTTGTTTTCAATTTAGACTTGTTTATATATATAAACAAGTCTAAATTGAAAACAACGTTCAAACCTATAATTGCGTTGGATAAAAACCGCAATTTTTATACGTGTGCATGCAAAACAAATTTCTTGGTAGAGGGGTCTAAATACAGCACAAACAACATTTTCCAAAAGACCAAATGAGTGAAAAAGTATATTTTAACAAAAACGCATTTGACTAGCAGGTCGAACAACTGATGTTCTTAAACCCTGCTGACTGCCATTGGCGATTGCCAAATAAACGGATCACAAGATGTAACAAAATAGATCTTATTATTAATTTATTACATTACAGAAAACCATAAACTTGCGGAAAAAATGGTAATCCGCAAACATGAGGTGCAAAAATTTGTACACCATATCCGGATTTCGACAATTAATGTCTCTTCAGTGATGTAAGGAATCGAAACGGTATTTGGAAGGCCATATAATTTACCTCAATTTAGGATAGACTCTTAAATTTTGAAAGAGTCAAAATAGGATGAACGGATCAGATAAACCCGAAGGCAAATATAATACAAGCCCAAACGAAATAAATATAAACAAGTTTAAATTGAAAACAACGTTCATACCTATGATAGCGTTGGATAAAAACCGCAATTTTTATACGTGTGCATGAAAAGCAAATTTCTTGGTAGAGGGGTCTAAATACAGCACAAACAACATTTTCCAAAAAGACCAAAAGAGTGAAAAAATATATTTTAACAAAACGCATTTGACTAGCAGGTCGAACAACTGATGTTCTTAAACCCTGCTGACTGCCATTGGCGATTGCCAAATAAATTGATCAAAAGGTGTAACAAATGGATCTCTATCTTAATTTAAAACGAATTAAAAAACAATAAATTTGCGGCAAAGATGGTAAACCACAACAAAAGGTGCTAATTTTTTTACACCATATCCGGATTCCGACAATGAATGTCTCTTCAGTGATGTAAGGGATCGAAAAGTATTTGGAAGGCCAATTAATTTACCTCAATTAAGGATAGACTCTTGAATTTTAAAGAGTCAAAATAGGATGAACGGATTATATAAACCAGAGGGAATACATAATACAAGCCCAAACGAAATAAATATAAACAAGTCTGTGAACGTTGTTTTGAATTTAGACTTGTTTATATATATAATAAAGTCTCTGATTGAATGTATAATAACAACTATAACACAATTTTCCCATATGTTTCGGCCATTACAACCTTCTTCATTGGAATAAAGTACAGCATTGAAACAACAAGTACATTGCTTGGATACAATACGTTACAATTACTACTATGACGTTCTATCAACTTATCGAGTATATTTATAGAATCCCGGCGAGGGAAGAACAATCATAGGTATGAACGTTGTTTTCAATTTAGACTTGTTTATATTTATTTCGTTTGGGCTTGTATTATATTTTTCCTCCGGTTTATATAATCCGTTCATCCTATTTTGTCTCTTTAAAATTCAAGAGTCTATCCTAAATTGAGGTAAATTAAATGGCCTTCCAAATACTTTTCGATCCCTAACATCACTGAAGAGACATTCATTGTCGAAATCCGGATATGGTGTAAAAACATTAGCACCTTTTGTTGTGGTTTACCATCTTTGCCGCAAATTTATTGTTTTTTACTTCGTATTAAATTAATATAGAGATCCATTTTGTTATACATTGTGATCAATTTATTTGGCAATCGCCAATGGCAGTCAGCAGGGTTTAAGAACATCAGTTGTTCGACCTGCTAGTCAAATGCGTTTTGTTATAATATATTTTTTCACTCCATTGGTCTTTTTGGAAAATGTTGTTTGTGCTGTATTTAGATCCCTCTACAACGAAATTTGTTACATGAACACGTATAAAAATTGCGGTTTTTATCCAATGCAATCATAGGTATGAACGTTGTTTTCAATTTAGACTTGTTTATATTTATTTCGTTTGGGCTTGTATTATATTTTCACTCCGGTTTATATCATCCGTTCATCCTATTTTGACTCTTTAGAATTCAAGTGTCTATCCTAAATTAAGGTAAGTTAATTGGCCTTCCAAATACTTTTCGATCCCTAACATCACGGAAGAGACATTCATTATCGAAATCCGGATATTTATGTAAAAAAAAATGGAATAAAGTACAGCATTGAAACAACAAGTACATTGCTTGGATACAATACGTTACAATTACTACTATGACGTTTTATCAACTTAGCGAGTATATTTATAGAATCCCGGCGAGGGAAGAACAAAAATTTGCTTCTGCAAATTTGCAGATTTAACATTGTTTTGCTGATATTTAGAGTAATTATGAATATAATATGTGTTTTCAGCCGTGTATCACCTTCACTGGTGATCCAATGGATGGATCTGTCGTACAGCTGTCACTTGTTTAGACGTACTTATCAAAATAATTATTTCTGTGACTTACGATCCTTTACGATAGATTTTTCGCTAATCTGCAATCAATTCCATCTTCATGCCTAATATATCATGTACTGTGTTTTTCTCTAGAACTCTAGATTCTACTGACGAGGAAAGGTTAAACTAGGCCACCAAAAGCTAAATTATTAGTTCAGTCTAGGTGGCGGTGTGGTCTAGAGCGCTGAACACAGTGCAGGCGGGGTTGTCTCGATATCCCAATAGCATGAGTTCGAATTGCGGCGAGGGAAAAACATTGTTTTGTTGATATTTAGAGTATTTATGAATATAATATGTGTTTTCAGCCGTGTATCACCTTCACTGGTGATCCAATGGATGAATCTATCGTAGAGTTGTCACTTGTTAAGACGTACTTCGGGTTTGTATGATCCGTTCATCCTATTTCGACTATTCAAAATTCAAGAGTCTATCCAAAATTGAGGTAAATTATAAGGCATCCATATACCGTTTCGAATCCTAACATCACTGACGAGACATTAATTGTCGAAATCCCGATAAGGTGTACTAGTTTTTGCACCTCATGTTTGCGGTATACTATCTTTTCTGCAAGTTTATTGTTTTCTGTTTGGTGTTATATTAATAATTAAGATCCATGTTGTTACATCTGGTGATCCGTTTATTTGGCAATCGCCATTGCAGTTAGCAGGGTTTAAGAACATCAGTTGTTCGAACTGTAAGTCAAATGCGTTCTGTTAAAATATACTTTTTCACGTTTTTTGTCTTTTGGAAAATGTTGTTCGTGCTGTATTTAGACCCCTCTACCAATTTAACAGATCTAACATTGTTGGGCTGTTATTTAGACGAATTATATATACAGAATGTGTTTTCAGCCTTGTATCACCATCACTGGTGATCCGATGAATAAAAGTTGTCGTAGAGTTGTCTTTAGTTCCGACGTCCTTAAAATATAATTATTTCGGTGACTGTATCCTACATTAATTTGTAAGATTCTCTACGATAGATAATTCAGCTGATCTGTAATATTCCATCTTCATGCCTTATATATCATGTACTGTGTTACGACGCTAGATAAAAACTGACGAGGAAAAGTATCACCCGGCCACCAAAAGCTTGATTTTTATCGAGCCTAGGTGGTCGAGTGGTCTAGCGCGCCGGACATTTTGCAAGGAGATTTGGTGCCACGATATCTCAGTAGCATGAGTTCGGATCCCGGCCAGGGAAGAACAAAAAATTTGCTTCTGCAAATTTACAAATCTAACATTGTTGGGCTGTTATTTAGACGAATTATATATACAGAATGTGTTTTCAGCCTTGTATCACCATCACTGGTGATCCGATGGAAAAAATCTGTCGTAGAGTTGCCACTGGTTCAGAGGTACTTATAATATAATTATTTCTGTGACTGTATCCTACATTAATTTGTAAGATTCTCTACGATAGATAATTCAGCTGATCTGTAATATTCCATCTTCATGCCTTATATATCATGTACTGTGTTACGACGCTAGATAAAAACTGACGAGG